TATAGGAGCTGTAAGTAGCCCAGAGCTCTCAGTGATGGTTAAACTGTAGCTTGCAAATGGCCCAAACAGCCTCAGAACCATTGCTTACACGGAGGGATGGCCTGGGGTGCCCAGAAAAGTTCTCTGAGGTTGAGCAAAAATGAGCAATAGGCTTAGGGGCACTGTCTGAGGGGCCCTGGACGATAAAGGGGGCAATGTTGGTTCTTGTGCACGTCGCACCCTTCCCAAGCCCCAATTACTCGGGTCACGTCCCTTTTGTTGGTTCCCATGTGCGTGGCAGTGCCAACCAATTAGTCATGAACAGACTCCGGGCGAACGGAAGTCCTTAATGAAGCGTGACCTGGTCCCGTCCTGTCTTCTCAACACGCTGAAAGCCCGATTGTCCTGTTCTGGTAACGGCCCTGGGGGTTTTCTGGCCTCTCTCTGGCCCCAAGTCCCTGGAGCCGTGGTTTGTTTCACTGGCTTGGTGTCCGAATTGGCGAATTGGCTCCGACTGAGCTGGGATGCCGGCCTTGAGGCCTATCTGATGGTTGGGCACCTGTCCTGTGATGAAGGTTCATGTGGCCCCTGTGTTCTTGATATAATTAGTGTGTTGGGCTTGTGGTCCTGCACGAAACTGTGAAGCAAAACCAGGCCACGTGGTGAGGACGTGGGGACTGCACTGTAGTCCCAGGGCTGCCACGGACCTACAGCTGCTCAGGGGCTCTGAGCCTGCGAGGCCTCCTCTCAATAGGGGCAAGGATTCCTGCCTCACCTAGCGCCTCAAGAAATGCCATGGAGAGCAGGTGAGGGACATACGTGAAAGCACTTCCTCAAGGGACGCCATGGAGAGCAGGTGAGGGACATACGTGAAAGCACTTCCTCAAGGGACACCACGGAGAGCAGGTGAGGGACGTACGTGAAAGCGCTCTGTAGGCTGCAAGCACGTACTTAGCCGTAGATGAAAGTGTTGGAGAGCAATTCGTCCAGAAACCTGCTGGGATCAAGTCTTGTGACCTGGACGGACAGAGAGGCCGCTCAGCATACAAAGTAGGAGTGGCAAGTGCAGGCGCCTATGCCACTGCCCCTCTTCCTGCCCCGGTCAGTAATCCACCCCAGGGAGCCTTGGGGACCCAGGTTGCCCCCACCACATGATGCACAGGAGGGAGGAGGCTGTTTTGCCATTCTTGTTTCTTTATAAATATGTTTTTATTGATTTTAGAGAGAGATGAAGAGAGAAGGATAGATAAAAACATCATTGATGGGCTACCTCCTGCACATCCCCTACTGGGGATCAAGCCTGCAACCCGGGCATGTGTCCTAACTGGGAATCAAACCAGTGACCTCTTGGTTCATGAATTGATGCTCAACCACCGAGCCACACCAGCTGCACTGTTCTGCCATTCTTGATGGGACATCGTTACCTTCAAGTGGACGGAGCAGAACCAGTGATTTTTATAACATCCCTCCATTGGGGGATCCTGGTTACCTGAGTGGTATCATGAACAGACTCAGGGCAATTTGAGCTGGCTTCAGAAACTAAACATCTTAATTAGAATAACCTCAGTTAAAAACAATGGGAGGGGACCGTTCCCCCCCCACACCCCCCCACACACGGGAGTCCGTTCTGTGGGACTCGTCCCCCTCCCTGCGTGGGAGTCTATACTTGTTCTTCAATAAATTTCCACCTTTGCGATACCAAAAAACCGAAAAACACCCTCCCCCCAAAAGAAAACCAACAACAACAATGGAGATGTGAAGGACTAGATTTTAGAGAGTGCGTCTGGAAACTGAATTTAGCTCGGAGCTTCCTGGCAGCCCGTAAACAAAGGGAAACATGTTTGGATATATAGTGTCATCATTGGCTGAAAGCAAGCTCCCACGTGTAGGAGTCCCAGGTTCTAGCTATAGCTAGTCTTTTCCAGAGGAGAGACAATGGGACAGCGGTGAGGGCTTGGAACTGGGAATTAGAAACCCTGAATCTTTCTTAGTTTTTGTGCCTCCACAGTCCCATCAGAAAAATGGGGGAATCATTTCTTCCTCAAAGCTTGCCCTTTGGAGGAATAAATCCCACCTCCCCAGCCTTCCATTCCATTCTGTTCTCCCAGCTCCCTTCCTTGTCTCCAGCTTGAGGATCCGCGTCACTAAGCGGTCCCCTTGTGACATGGTCATGGGCGTGGGAATGTGCAGCAGCCAACCCTGGCCACCCCTGTCCTTCCAGGTGGACAGGTTCCTGTATCACATGCGGCTCTCCGACGAGACCCTTCTGGACATCATGGCGCGGTTCCAGGCTGAGATGCAGAGGGGCCTGGGGAAGGACACCAACCCCACAGCCTCCGTGAAGATGCTGCCCACCTTTGTCAGGGCCATTCCGGACAGATCAGGTGAGGGGCTGGGGCTGCCAGGGATCTGACCCCCCTGGGTCCTTCCTGGCCGATGGACCTGAAGTTTGCTCCTGTGCCTTCACTTACCTCTTCAGCCCTCTCCACATCACCCCCACCTCCGACGCTCTATGCTTAGTTACACTCAGTACCAAAAGATTTGAACCAAGGTTCAAATGTGCCTCCCTTTCTCTCTGCCCCCTTAGCTCCACACACTCTGCTCCCTCTCCTGCCGGGACATCTCAGCATTCTTCCCCTGGGGCAGCCCAGCTCAGCTTTTCTCTCCCAATGGAGAGTTCTCTGCCTGCGTCTGGGAAGCACCCCCATGCTGGGCTCGGTGCCTGTCACCTGCTTCGTGTGGGAGTCTCCCAGTGTCCTGAGCACCTCGCACAGTGCCTGGTGCATACTGGGCCCCGAAATGTTTGTTGACTGCATATAAATGGCATTTCCTTCCTCGGTATTACTTCACTCCAAAGCATCGAGAGTCTAGGCTAATAGTAAGTATTAGACGATGCCATGACGTAGTAGAAAGAATATTAAATGATGATATTCAAGAAACCTGGGTTCTAGGCCCAGCTCTGCCGCTCCTCAGTGACCGTTGACAAAAGGTCTAGTCTGTTTCTCTATCTGTAAAATGAGGGAGGTGGCCTCTGTATTAATTTTCTGTTGCTGCTGTAATAAGTTACCACATACTTAACAGCTTGAAACAACACACATTTATTCTCTTTCAGCTGTGGAGGTCAGAGGCTGAGTGCCCTCCGGGGCTCAGGGGGTGGTGGTGGGGGAGCCTGGTCTTGCCTTAGCTGCAGGAGGCTCCTGCATTCCCCGCTCCAGCCTTTCTCCACCTCCCAGCCAGCAGCGCAGCATCTTCTAACATGTCTCTGACTCGCCCTTGCGCCTCTTCCTCACTTAAAGACCCTGGGATTTCCCTGATGCCCCTCAGATCATCCATGATCTCCCAAACTCGATCTCAACCGATGAGCAACTCTGATTCTGTCTGCAACCTAAATCCCCTCTTGCCATGCTAATGTGTCCACAGGACCTGGGGATTAGGATGTGGGCCTCTCTTTGCTTACCCTAGGGACCTCTAGAAGGAATCTTTGAGGTTCCATACACTCCTCCATTCTCAGCCTCTGGGAAGCCACAGGAGGAAGGAACTGGTGTCTGCCAGGCACCTCCTGTGGTCCTCACTGTCTCACACAGTCCCCACAAGAACCCCGTGGTCAGATGAGATACCGAGGACCGAAGGGGTTCCCCAGTGTCAGGGTCCCAGTGCTCCAACCAAGCTCCAGCGGGGGCTTTGGGCTCTTGAAGCCGGGATTAAAGTTTGGGGGCCTTCAGGGCCTGTGATTGGACTAGCCAGGTTCTGGGCCCCTTTGGGACAATGCCTGGGTCAAAGTCGTTAGGCTCTTCCGTTTGAGGGGCCCTGGGAGCTGTGATGAGAGAGACCTGTTCCCTGGCAGGCGGGTGGGTGCGTAGGGTGGGCAGTGTACCGCCCAGAGGAGCATAAGTTTTGGAGAGAGACTGTGCTGCTTTGAAATCTTGCCCGGTTCCTGGTACTTTTGCTCTGAGAGTGCCGAGGGGACTGTGGTCCTTGACAGTCACCCAGCTGCTCAGAGAAGCACCTGAGTCATGGGGTGTGTGGGGGGAGGCACCAGGGCAAAGTCCTCCTGGCTTCCTGTGCTGGGCTCCTCCTGCAGAGGTGTGTCCCCATAGGCATCAGAAAGTGGCCTTTGATGGTCTGGAGGCTGTGGCCGGATGTGCCTTCCAGAAGGTTTGGAAGTGAAACTGACCAAGTTTCAGACACCCCCTCCTCCTCAGGCCAGGAGACAACCTATGCTCTTCCCTGTCTCCTCAGAGCATCTCCTCACACAATAGCCCTTACCTGACCCTGCTCCAGGGGGTCCCTGCACCCAGAGGCCTGGGCAAGTCCACTGCACTCCTGTCCTCACCAACTTCAGGGTCATTGGGAGCAGATGAGGCAGGGGTGTTTCAAAGTCTCCAGAATGTTGTCCCAAGTCCCAGTAACTTTGAGCTGGCGGTGGCATTTCATGATTCCTCACCAACAAGCAGAACTCTGCTGATCCCTCAGGCCTGCATTTCAGAAATGTATACAGTTTCCAGAGAAATCCCTCTGAGTTCTCCCACTGCAGGGCCCACGCCTTTCATCCGAACCCACCCGAGATGGGTGGCCTGTGTGAGCTTTAGTCCCAGTGTATCAGCCAGGGAGCCGCAATGGGCTGTTCTTACAAAAGTGCCTTAAAAGTGGTGTTATTGCAACACATCAGTTGACTAGCAATTTCCCTCTGTGTCTATTTCACAAGGAGTGACTGTGAATGGCCTGCTGGGGCCAGGGGCTACGGTCAGGAGTCAGGTTTTCCCGGGCCGGGGGTCACATGGCACAGACAAGGCCACTTGGGGGCCTGGGTTTCTGGGCATGGCGTTTCACTTACGTGTGCCTTCGGCATACATCATGACACATGCCGGGCACATGCAGCCACTTCTCAGGCGATTTTATAGAGAGGCTTGCTGGTTCAAAGGTTTGCACACCAGAGTTCTCATCCCACACCTGCGGCTGTCGCTGAAGACACTGGCAGGTCCTGGGCAGGACTTCTGTCTGGATCCCAAGGTGAAGTCGTTAAGAGGGTCTGTCATTTCCCCTTTTATTAATCGCATCTGCCTTGCGCTGGGCTGGGTGGTGTTATTTTCTCATTTTGAAGCAACTCTGGCCCCAAATATTGAGCATCCTTGGCCCTTAAGGGCCGTCATTTGGTCCCAGTCTCCTTCCCTCCTGGAGCATTTTGCCTCTGCCCTTGAGACAGAGGCTTGTATGGGGCCGTTTCTCTTCCCTGCACTCCCCCTCCCTTCCCTCCATGCCTTATCTGGAATAGGCCCCGCCCTCAAGGCCCACCTCTCCTACCACCTGCCTGAAGAGTGGGCAGGCCATGAGAGACTTGGGTCACCCCTCCCCTTCCTCCCTCTCCTCCTCCTCCTCCTGCCCCTCCTCCTCCTCCCCTGGGAGGGCTCAGGTCAGTGGCTGCACTTCTGCAGCCCCAGTGAGTGTGCACAGTGACACCCAGCTCACACCTGGGGTGGTTGTAAGACTCAGTGACATTTCTTACCTGTCCAACTTCTCATGCACATCTTGCCATGTAGCAGACCCTCCATATCTGAAACTTTTTTGTTTGTTTTTTAATAGAAAATGGGGAGTTTCTTTCCCTGGATCTTGGAGGATCTAAGTTTCGAGTGTTGAAGGTGCAAGTCTCTGAAGAGGGGAAACAAAAGGTCCAGATGGAGAGTCAGTTCTACCCAACTCCCAATGAAATTATCAGAAGGTCCTGTGCTTTCTCTCTGCAGCTGTTTGAATACGTGGCTGACTGCCTGGCAGATTTCATGAAGACCAAAGGGCTGACGCATAAGAAATTGCCCCTGGGCATGACCTTCTCTTTTCCCTGCTGGCAGACCAAATTGGAAGAGGTAAGGCCTGGCTGGGGAGGGGGAAGCTGTGCAGGGTTTGGAGTTTGGGGCTGGAGAACGTGTCGGAGTCAGGCTGGGAACAGGGGGCACCAGC